TGCTCCATTCTTTTCCCTCAGCAAGCCCGGTTGGGTGTCCTTTGGCAAACTACACAAAGGTAAACATATTAGCTCGATCATTTTCAAAATCAGGCACTCACACCACCTAAAAATTTACAAAATTCTGCCAAGGCAAGCGAGAATGGAGCAAAACATTCACTTATCAGGAAACCAAACATCTAAAACATAAGATATGCACCCAATTTCATTTGCAAAGGCATTTTGGGAACCAAAACTTACCTGCGAACCTTGTACTCAGGGTAAAGTTCAGCAACCTTTGCCACAAAGTCACCATAACGTGATATAGCTTCCAAACACAAGTGCCTACCGGTCGCTGATTTGTTCTCATACACTAAAATGTGTGCGAGAGCAACATCTTTAAAATGTACAGATCCCATAAAGAATTCCTCATATGTTTCAGTGCAGCCTGCAGCAAAGATCGAACAACTCAAAACTATATATATGTTGTTTCTACTTTCTAGGGCCTCATCCTTTTTCTCAGTCCTCTCCAAAACAAACTTTATCGAAAATCCTTAGAACTTAAAGAAACATGTGCTAAAAAAAGAGGTGTAGAAGAGTTCCTTTAGGATTACACATATGCATGCTCACATAATCGACCTCCTCAAACTTACGGACTAACTGGCAAAAAATTAGCAATCTCGACTGTTATGAAAGAAGAAATCTTATAAGTGTTGAGGTACCAAACTCAATCTTTCTTTAACAAAAATGTCTTAAGAGAAAGAAAATACCTAATTTTTACCTCATTTTTAGTTCATCAACCAACCACAGCATCATACATAATAAAAGGGAAATGTTCTCTTGCCATTGAGATGATATGTCATCATACAAACTGTCAATCAAAGATCAAATTTCGTCTAAATTTATGATTCGAGTGCAAATTTTGCAACATTACATGGCATACTATCAGGCAAGAGAACATTAACTACTAGTGGAATATTCGAACAATTTAAGAGGGTAGTCCTAGAGGATAAATAAAGTCAACAATCTACTTCTAGGTGCAGTCATAGAGCATTTTCTAATACAAATTTGCAGAGAAAAGTACCCTCAAGAATGCGAAGGAGCATCAACATGCTAGCATTGAGCCTGGGCGAGATAACAGGGCCCATCACCGTGCCCGGATTCACCACAACCACATCCAGCCCCTTCTCCTTGGCAAATTCCCACGCAGCTTTCTCCGCCAGCGTTTTCGATAATGGATACCACAACTAGCCAAACAACAAACACAATCAGCATTACAGTCCCCAATTGGGAAACGTGCACCGAAAGTTACAAACTTTCAATAAGAAAATAGAATGCGGACATTAAACAGACAATAAACCGCGGTTTTTCAAAACACAACTAGGCACTGGAGTAACTCACTCCCTTCTGCTTGCAGTAGTCAATGTCTGTCCAGCAATCCTCGCCCTTGATCTTATCGGACGGCCAGCTTGGGCTGGGAGTGATGGCGGAGATGGATGACGTCAGCACCACACGGCTGACCCCAGCCTGCTTCGCCGCCGTCAGAACATTGAGCGTTCCTTTGATCGCCGGGTCCAGGAGCTCCTTCTGCAGATTAAACAAAGAAAAAGCACCACGTTTTCAAAATTACGCACAATTAATCAGATATAATCGAAATTATAAGGAGTTTGATAATGTTTAATGGCGGGAACCTCGGGGTCGTGGACTTGATCGACGATGCAGGGAGAGGCGAGGTGGAAGACGCCGGAGCAACCATCGACGGCGGCGAGTATGGAGTTGTAGTCGAGGAGGTCGATCTGGAAGAGACGGAGGCGCGACTCTGCCCCCTCTACTAACGCTTCTAGATGCTTCGTCTCGCCCTCGTCCTCTGCAACAAACAAAACAACCGCGTTATTAATTTTGGACTGAACGCGAATGGAATGAATGGAACTGTGGCAGTTGTGTAGATAAGGGGAAAAGCAAGGGTGAAGTTACTGAGATCCTTGACGGTGGCGTGGACGGTGTAATCACGGTGGAGGAGGAGACGGACGAGCCAGGATCCGATGCAGCCGCTTCCACCGGTAACGCATACGACCTCACCCTGCTTCGACATCCTCCCTCCCTGCAGGTTGCAGTGTCCCTTTGCTTTCAGCAGTCGAGTGCTCCTCGGCTGATTGTTGTTGGTGATCAAATTGGATTGGGCCGACTGGATAATGAAGATAATGAAGATCGAAAATTGAGTGTATAATGTACACACAATATCTCGAGTTAAAACGCTTACCCTCCCTTTAATATTTAAGGAAAACTAACCAAAAACGCTTCAAAATTTTGAGTTTTAACAAAAAATCATATATAAATTTTATTTAATGATAAGGACAAAAATTAAAAAATTAAAAATAATCCAACCCAACCGCGCGGAAGCATGCGCCAACCAATTCAAATATTAAATCAAACTTTTGTTGTAACTGTGAGCAGATAGAACTGATAAGAAGATTAACATGCAGTGCAAAATAAGTAGTAGGAGTAGTACAATGAATGATGAGATGGAATGGATGGATGAATTAAATTATTTTTAAAACATTTCATTGGGAAGGAAAACGTGAGAGTGAAGCTTCAATGACTCTTTTTTCTTTTAGAGAGGGAGAGAGAGAAATCTGTTTACGTACAAAAAGAAAGAAAAGAAAAGTAGTAATTTTCAACAGAAAATCAACAATGCAAAATCAGCACCCAAATTACTTTTTAAATATTTCATCGGGAAGGAAGAGAGGGAGTGTGTAAGGAAGAGAGATTGTGAGGGTAAAGCCAACCAAATCCTTTCAAACTGACATCAACAAACTCCAAAAAAATTTAAAAAGAGAGAGAAATTTGAGATAAAAAAAATATATTGCTGACATCAATACATGACAGTAATTTGTAAGGAAATAGTTTAAAAAATAGTGATAGTGCTAGTGTTCGATTTTAAGAAATAGTCAGTGTTTAGTTTACGAAATAATTAGCTTTTTGTTTAAGAAATAGTCAGTGCTTAGTTTACGAAATAGTGACAGTACTAGTTTACGAAACAGTGATAATACTAGTGTTTGGTTTGAAAAATAGTCAGTGCTTAGTTTACGAAATAGTGATAGTACTATTACTTGGTTTAATATATATAGTCTATTGTGTTCAGTTTAAGAAATAGTCAGTGTTTAAGAAATAGCCAGTGTTTAGTTTACGAAATAGTAATAGTACTAGCATTCAGTTTAAGAAATAGTCAGTATTCAGTTTACGAAATAGTCAATGTTTAGTTCAAGAAGTAATGATAGTATTAGTGTTCCATTTAAGATATAGTTAGTGTTTAGTTTAAGAAATATTGTTCAGTTTAAGAAGTAGTCAATATTTAGTTTACAAAATAGTGTTTGGTTTAAGAAGTAGTCAATATTCAGTTTAAGAAATAGTGTTCAGTTTAAGAAGTAGTCAATGTTCTATTTAATAAATAGTCACAGTATTAATGTTCATAAAACTAAATAATGAAATTTTTCTTTATTTTTGATTTTGTAATATTATTACTTAGTTTGTTCTAAAACAATTGAAAGAATAATCAAATAAACAAATAATAAAATAAAATAAAATGTTTATGGAGTGAGGTGAAAGGAGAGAGGTGTCACATCCCGGTCCGGGCGGGACTACTTCCTAGGCCCGACTCCACTACCGTAGCACGATATTGTCCGCTTTGGGCTTACCATTCCCTCACGGTTTTGTTTTTGGGAACTCACGAGCAACTTCCTAGTGGGTCACCCATCATGGGATTGCTCTAGCCCCCTTCTCGCTTAACTTCGGAGTTCCTACGGAACCCGAAGCCAGTGAGCTCCCAAAAGGCCTTGTGCTAGGTAGGGATGAGAATATACATATAAGGATCACTCTCCTGGACGATGTGGGATGTCACAGAGGAGAGTGGGGAGAGGTGAAAAAAAAATGGAAAAAAAAAAAAAAAAGAGAAAAAGTTGATGTGGATGGGTGAGGTGAAAGAAGAGAAAAAAATGGATGTGAACATACCAAAGAGGGAGAGAGAGAAAGAGGTTACACAGTTAAGTGAGGAAGAGGGTGTGTGTGATGCTGATGCGCAGTCCCACGTGTCAGTATATGTTTTTTTTTGTTTTGTTGTTATGTAAAATTTTTATCCTTTTCATTAAAATTTGAGTCATTTTTATTAAAATTTAAGTTTTTTTATTAAATAAAGTTAGTAGATGGTTTTTGGTTAACTAAAAATTTTGAGAAGCCCTTTTCATTACAATTCCCTAATATTTATGCCCAATTTGTTAAATTAGTAATATCGTTTGTAATAAAAATAAAACAACAATACCGGAAATAACTTGGATATATCAAAATTATTGCAGAAAACTCTGGTGAGCCACAATTTGTCAAAAAATATTAATATCTTTTGTATATGTCCTTTGTTTAAATTTTAACGGATCACTACATAGAAGTTAGCAACTGCAGTTGTTTGCTTGACATATATACATACATACGTACATACATATAATATATATATATAGATATATAGATATATAGTAATGTCTAACTTGCCTTAATTAAGAACTCATTCAACGTAGTGAGATTTTGGAATTAATACAGTTTAATTTTGATAGTCGTCGTGTCTTGAGGAGGGAACTAGTGCCGCACCAAACAGCTTGGAGGTTTATTTGACCTAGGCCTCTGGATATTATCTGCAATTTGGAATACAAATAATTATAATTATTTTTCATATACTTTTCACCTTAAATTAATTGCATTTGTACGTATCCAAAATCAAAGCACTCCAACTCACCAAGATGAAACGCGATTAGCACAAATCTCGACGTTTGGGATGTGAGAAATCTTGGGCCACTCCTCTCCACTGCCTCCTTTGCAACGTTTTGCAAGTTTTGGACGGTAAAAAATGGAAAGATTCTGCAGTGGCATTTTGCAGAGGAAGTCTGGCAGCGTTTCTAGCTCAGAGCACATAGTTATGTCTAGGGAAGAAAGGCATGGCATAATAATAATTCCAGAATCCCCTTTGTTCCACCCTTTCACACCTCCCCAGTCCTTCCACGACGACAAGTTGTAAAAGTGGAGTCGTTCAATTTTGGGAATAACATTGATAAGGATGATTTGAATGAAGATGTTTGATCATCTTCTACTCCCAAAAACTCGCCACCAATCTTTCTTACACCCGACATTGCCCCGAGGTAGAGTCCTTCAAGGAACGGCAATTTCCCAAGAGGAGGCAAAATTTCACAAACACAAATATCCTCCAGAGTGAGTAATCGCAACTTTTTTAAAGACATCAACCAATTCGGCCAGGTCGAGCCAAAATACCCATAAATCTCTAAAGATTCCAGATCATCGTGTGGTCTTAAGACATTCATTATTCGTCCACTGCTCTCTCCAGCCTTGTCGCGCACTTCACCAAAATCCAGTTGGAGATGAAAAAGTTGCTTGTTGTCCCGCAATTGTGCTTCACTCCCATCTTTCACCTTCCCCAAAATTCTTATTTGGAGACTGCCGTGGAGCTGGTTCACGGTTCTCAAATCCCCAACTTGAAATGCTTCGTCGTTGTCAACAGAAAACAGAGGAAAGACGTCTAGTGTTTGCAAACTTGTTAATCTCCCTATCCCTTTTGGCAAGCACTTCAGTGAGTCACTCTCCCCAACGTAAAGATGCTTTAAGATAATCAACTTTCCCATGTTATCAGGCAATTTATTTAGTGATTTGCATCTTCGAAGGTCCAAGGTATACAAGTTATATAAACCACAAATGGTGTCTGATAATTTCTCCAACTTTCGACTTCCAGACAAATCAATATGCCTCAAATGTACCAATTCACCAATCTCTTTTGGGAGTTCTTTGATGGAACTTCCAGACAAATTTATTGTCCTAAGACATTTGACTTGTAAAATAAAACTAGCATATACCGTAGCAACACTTGAGTGAATTGTTGTGAGCGTACGTAGATTTTTGCAATTCCGAGAAGTGATAGAAAGTAAATCTTGATCATCAACCACAGATGTTAAGGTCAGATGGCGAAGATTACTGCCCAATACCTCTATTTTACGGTTTGCAACCTCTGCATCGGTACTCAAACATTCCTTCTTGGTGATAAATTGCACAAAGTCATTTACAATGTCATACATTTTGCAACCTATTATCGTACTAGTGTCGTAGTGTTTCTTAAAATCTTGAAAAAAAGACCGAGCAACTAAATTATCATAAACAACTTGACCAATTTTTCCTTTATCTTTATTCTCTCTAGAATTAAGATAATCTTGTGCCATCCAAAGATTAATCAACTCATCTCTACTAAACTCATAATCTTTTGGAAAAATAGCACAATATAAATTTGTTTCTCGGGGCCAAATCATAATAACTTAGAAATAATGGCTGGAAAACTTCTTGCTCCGCTTCTTCCCAATCCCATATTTTACTATTCAGAACCTTCAACCATTCACTCCTTGTTCTCTTATTACGCATCATACTGCCTAAAGTCTTTGCAACAAGTGGCAAACCCTTAGACTTTTTTACAATCTCCCCACTGATTTCTCCAAACACCTCAAACTCGCCTATTTCTCTATTAGAAAATGCCATGTGATTAAAGACTGACAAACAATTTTGTTTGCTCAACTCTGCAAGATTGATCATGTGAGAGGTTCCTCCCATCATACTAGCAACATTTTGTTTTCTGGTGGTTACTAGTATTCTACTGCCCTCAGCCCCATTTTGCATCAATGGAACCTTCAATTGATCCCACTTTTTACGGTCTTCAGTCCACACATCATCCAACACAAGAAGAAACTTTACCCCCCTTAATGGATCTAGACATAGATTCTAAGACATGATCCAACCCAGTTGAACTTGAGGTGGCATCACCACTAATCTCTTTGGCAATCTTTGTCTCATCGAAAGGCTCTAACACACAAACCCATATTCTCTTTTGAAAATGAGCTTTAACATTGGCATCATTATAGACTAACTGAGCCAAAGTTGTTCTTTCCCGTACCTCCCATCCCTACAATAGGGATGATGAGGAGCCCCATCCCTTCTTCGCTAACATCACTCACCAACTTCCTTTTCCTTTTCTCGACCAAATATCTCAGACATATCGACAAAAGACGAAGTTTGCTGTTTTTGAATGACTGTTTCAGTGAGTTGAAAATTATACATTTTTCTTTGCTTATAAATCCCAGCTAACTGCTCATTTAGATCCTTTATCTTGAGAGCAATTTCACAATGAATAATAACCTTGCGGACTTGGCCAAGACAAAAACAACGAGCGAAGATAGTGAAACTTACCTTCCTCTGAGGAGTAATATGAGTTGCGCCTTCTCCTTCTTGTTTCTCAACTTGTTGTCTCAAAATGTCAGTGTTCCACTCATCCAGCACGTCCACCATCTGGTACGATATTTCCTTCAGGTTATCCAGCCAGTTTTGCCTTTGCTCTGCATCCTCAAGCATAGATTCAATAGCTTTCAGGTTGCCAGTGAACTCTTCAACTTCTTTCTTAACATTTAGAATGAGTGTCAGCTCGTCCTCTACGTACTCATAAGTTGTTGTCGCCAACTTCTCTAGTAGCATGGAAACGAGCGCATCAGCCATTTTCAGGGTTACAAACTTAGAAATCGGTTGAGAGTGGAGAAGAAGTCAGCCGCTTAGGAAAGTATATATGAAGAGGAAACTAATGCAGGATGGTTGTGCTATGGCTTTTCTTCTTTGCTAGTTTATATAGACAGTGGACACCTTTGTTTTCCCGTTTGCTTTCTACAATGCAAGATTCTTTGCTCTTAATACCAAAAAGATTTTCCTTGATGCTGCTGTTTGCTCTCTCCTTGGATGAAAGGAACAACAAATTTGAGGGGTGAATATATAGTGGCAGTGTCGGCAAGTAGTCTAAATTTGTTTTTTAGAACGTAAACCTTATGAAGAAATTGGAGTTCCACCATAAAACCAGTTGGCAATATGGGGAAGTAGCTCAACTTACTTGTAAGTCCATGCAAGGTTACTCCCATCAATGTAGGATTCATTCTTAACATCTTCTCATAATCTCATATAAATAAATTAACATGATGGCTTACAAATCAATCCTCGATAAGAAGCAAGCATTATGTCACGGATATTTGGCATTCGTGCCAGTGTGCTCTTAGGCAATTATTTTTTTGAAAAAATTTATATTCGGTTTCTAGCTACTAATGTTCTTTAATTGAGACCTTATTGGTTTTCTGGTTTTGATATCCGAAACCATTTGCCTATTTAATTATTACGATGAAATTTCATTGTTTCTTATAGAATAAAATGTTCATCAATTTCATTGTTTTTTGCAAAAATTTAATTTAATCTAAAACCATTTGCCTATTTAATTATCACGATGAAATTCAATCCGAACCGTCTATGGTGACTTGTTAAGATTCTTTGATCTTATGAAGCATGATTCTTTGATCTACCAAGATTTTGCCTTGATGCTGCAGTTTACTGTGTGGAGGGAAAGGATTAACGAAAACTTTAGGAGTGAATCTGAATGCCTATCCAGCAAGCAAGCTCATTTCTTTAGAGCGTATACCTTCTTCTCAAAATCTGAATATCTTTCCCGAGTTGAGACTTCCTATCGGGAATTAATCCTTTCGTAAGGGTTTATTCTTAACATGCACGAAAACAAATTATGCAGATAGCAAGCTACTATGATGAGAATAACACCAACAAGGCCGGAGCTGTAAAACTTTATTAGCCTATATAGATTAAAACACAAGTAACTAACCTGAAGACACCATGGACGAAAGCTTGGTGCGCAAAGAGTCTTGTATGTTGTACTGATCCTTAGCAATCAAACCGTATGGGGAGTTTGTGAATATTGCGTGTATCAACAAATGCAGGGAACTTCACTCATATAGGCATGTTAACCTAATAGGCTTAGCCCATCATTGAGACCTAATAGGTAACTGAATATGTCTATATCTCCTTAACCAATCAGGATTAGGAACCCCTTTAACAAGAATAACAACTTAATATTACAATCTTTTTGCAACAGGTAAAGTCCAAGTTAATTCCCTAATTCTAACTTGATCGTAACTTACAATGATTGTGAGACCACAAAATCTTGTGAGAACGGGATTTTACTCCAACATTCTCCCACTTGGTCGAAGCAAGCATTGTATGAAACTTAAGAGAAACCAAATTAGGATTACTTTAGTGGCCATGGAAATCACTTAAACTTAAAGTTCCTTATAGCTTCTGTCAATTAGCACAATCACATAGAACTAACAATGCACTGATATTCTAACTTACAGCTACCACGTAGCGTTCCAGTCAAATAATGCATTGATATTCTAACTTACAGCTACCACGTAGCATTCCAGTCCAACAATGCATTGATATTCTAACTTTCAGCTACCCTGATTAAAGTGTGAACTTTAAGGTAAACTTATCGTACACTCATATTAATATTATTTTCTGCACAGAAAATGGAATATTCAAAGGAGTTGAAACAACCAGATTACATGTCCTCGCTACTAGTACAAGAGATACCTAGATCCCTGATAAGTTTCATATCCGTGCAGTTTTATTTATAAAATAAATCCCTTGCTCTTTAGGCTCTCAACAGCATCCTTGATAATTTGATCCATGGAAATGAATTCTAAACCCAAGTTCATTAGCTTCTTCGCTCCGTTCTTTTCCCTCAGCAAGCCCGGTTGGGTGTCCTTTGGCAAACTACACAAAGGTAAACATATTAGCTCGATCATTTTCAAAATCAGGCACTCACACCACCTAAAAATTTACAAAATTCTGCCAAGGCAAGCGAGAATGGAGCGAAACATTCACTTATCAGGAAACCAAACATCTAAAACATAAGATATGCACCCAATTTCATTTGCAAAGGCATTTTGTGGACCAAAACTTACCTGCGAACCTTGTACTCAGGGTAAGTTCAGCAACCTTTGCCACAAAATCACCATAACGTGATATAGCTTCCAAACACAAGTGCCTACCGGTCGCTGACTTGTTCTCATACACTAAAATGTGTGCGAGAGCAACATCTTTAAAATGCACAGATCCCATAAAAAAGTCCTCATATGTTTCAGTGCAGCCTGCAGCAAAGATCGAACAACTCAAAACTATATATATGTTGTTTCTACTTTCTGGGGCCTCATCCTTTTTCTCAGTCCTCTCCAAAACAAACTTTATCGAAAATCCTTAGAACTTAAAGAAACATGTGCTAAAAAAAGAGGTGTAGAAGAGTTCCTTTATGATTACACACATGCATGCTCACACAATCTACCTTCTCAAGCTTACGGACTAACTGGTAAAACAATTAGCAATCTCTGACTGTTACGAAAGAAGAAATCTTCCAAGCGTTGAGCTACCAAACTCAATCTTTCTTTAGCAAAAATGTCTTAAGAGAATGAAAATACCTCATTTTTACCTCATTTTTAGTTCATCAACCAACCACAGCATCATACATAATAAATGGGAAATGTTCTCTTGCCATTGAGATGATATGCCATTGTACAAACTGTCAATCAAAGATCAAATTTCATCTAAATTTATGATTCGAGTGCAAATTTTGCAACATTACATGGCATACTATCAGGCAAGAGAACATTAACCGCTAGTGGAATATTCAAACAACTTAAGAGGGCAGAGCTAGAGGATAAATAAAGTCAACAATCTACTTCTACGTGCAGTCATAGAGGATTTTCTAATACAAATTTGCAGAGAAAAGTACCCTCAAGAATGCGAAGGAGCATTAACATGCTAGAATTGAGCCTGGGCGAGATAACAGGGCCCATCACCGCGCCTGGATTCACAACAACCACATCCAGCCCCTTCTCCTTGGCAAATTCCCACGCAGCTTTCTCTGCCAGCGTTTTCGATAATGGATACCACAACTAGCCAAACACCAAACACAATCAGCATTACAGTCCCCAATTGCGGAAATTTCAAGTAGTTAAAAATGAAGAATTAATACTCAAAGATGAAAGATACAACACAAGCAGGGGAAAAGCCGTATATAAACCGTATATAAACCGCGGTTTTTCAAAACACAACTAGGCATTGGAGTAACTCACTCCCTTCTGCTTGCAGTAGTCAGTGTCTGTCCAGCAATCCTCGCCGTTGACCTTATCGGACGGCCAGCTTGGGCTGGGAGTGATGGCGGAGGTCGATGACGTTAGCACCACACGGCCGACCCCAGCCTGCTTCGCCGCCGTCAGAACATTGAGCGTTCCTTTGATCGCCGGGTCCAGGAGCTCCTTCTGCAGATTAAACAAAAAAAGCACCACGTTTTCAAAATTACGCATAATTAATCAGATATAATCAAAATTAGATGGAATTTGATACTGTTTAATGGCGGGAACCTCGGGGTCGTGGACTGGATCGATGATGCAGGGAGAGGCGAGGTGGAAGACGCCGGAGCAACCATTGACGGCGGCGAGTATGGAGTTGTAGTCGAGGAGGTCGATCTGGAAGAGACGGAGGCGCGACTCTGCCCCCTCTACTAACGCTTCTAGATGCTTCGTCTCACCATCGTCCTCTGCAACAAACAAAACAACGGCGTTATTAATTTTGGACTGAACGCGAATGGAATGAATGGAACTGTGGCAGTTGTGTAGATAAGGAGAAAAGCAAGGGTGAAGTTACTGAGATCCTTGACGGTGGCGTGGACGGTGTAATCACGGTGGAGGAGGAGACGGACGAGCCAGGATCCGATGCAGCCGCTTCCACCGGTAACGCATACGACCTCACCCTGCTTCGACATCCTCCCTCCTGTGTCCCCTTGCTTTCAGCTGTCGTGTGTCCCTCATTTACTTGAGCTGATTGTTGATGGTGATCGGATTGGCCCAAAATCTAATTGGAATTTTCAAATAAAAAGATATGGAGATCGAAATTGAGTATATAAAACACACTATATCTCGAGTTAACGCTCTTGCCTTCTCTTTATATACCAAATTAGTAATATCATTTATTTTTAAAGAATTGTTATTAACATTCTAAAAATTTTATTGTACGGTCTTTTTAAATGTAATGTTTTTACTAATTATAGAAAGTTTAGAATGCTAATAACAATTTTCTATTTTTATTATAAACAAGAGATAATTTCACCTAAAAAATTTGTAAAATTTCGCCAAGGCAAGCGAGAATGCACCAAAAGGTTGATAAACTTGGAAAGCGACATTTGGAAGTGATTCTAAATAGACCAAAGAATGCACCAAAGAAAGATGACGTATGCAAATCTATACTCGCATGAACATTCTATTATAGGAAAAATCAGATTTCAATTCGCTAATTTGATCTCAAATATCACACGCGTGATGGGAGGAAAGAAAGAAAGAAAAAACCATGTTCCTCCACCTACAGAACAATTCAGTGTATCCAAGAAACCTCGGTTCAAGATCAAGACATAGCGTATTTTTAAGTTGTGCTTCTGACAAGGGATAAGACATTCACTTATCAGAAAACCAACAACTAAAACATACGATATGCACACAATTTCATTTGCAAATATATTTTGCCGACCAAAATATACCTCGGAACCTGGTACGTAAGAAAAACACAATACAAGCAGGGGAAACGCGCACCGAAAGTTACAAACTTTCCATAAGAAAATAGAATGCGGACATTAAACAGACAATAAATCGTATATAATCCGCAGTTTTTCAAAACACAACTAGGCATTGGAGTAACTCACTCCCTTCTGCTTGCAGTAGTCAATGTCTGTCCAGCAATCCTCGCCCTTGACCTTATCGGACACCCAGCTTCGGCTGGGAGTGATGGCAGAGATGGATGACCTCAGCACCACACGGCTGACCCCACCCTGCTTCGCCGCCGTCAGAACATTGAGCGTTCCTTTGATCGCCGGGTCCAGAGGCTCCTCCTGCAGATTAAACAAAAAAAGCACCACATTTTCATAATTAAGCATAATTAATCAAACATAATCATAATTAGAAGGAATTTGATATTGCTTAATGAGGCGAACCTCAGGGGGGTCGTGGACTTGATCGACGATGCAGGGACAGACAAAATTGACAAAAAAATCGCAAACAAATAACAATTTCAAAGTATTTAAAGTCATAAATATGTGAATGCTTGCATTGCATGGCAGTCATAAGTACATATCCTATCCTATTGGACAAATTGTTTTTTCAGTAATCGTTCGAATTAAATAGACAAAAAAATAACTACCAAGACAAATTGCAACTCACCAATATGAAACGGTTCAACGATATATGCCAGTGCAGACGTATATTTGGGCCACCCCGAGTCTGAAAAATATACATGTAAAGGTTTTACAAGCATCCTCTGAATGTTTGGTGTTTGTCCTTTTTGTGCCTGTCAAATGTTTGATGTAGTGCCTAATAGGCATATCTCGACAGGTTACATCGACGACACTCAGACAAATTCTCTCGATATTGCTCATCAGATAAGCTGGAAACTTTTTTGCCCCTTTGCACCATATCTGTTGAAGGTTTGATGTTTTAAAAAGGTTCTGCAATTTGGAAAGCAAATGGTTAAATTGCATTTGTACGTATATATATCCAAATGAAGTAAAAAAATCAAAGCAGTGCAACTCACCATATATGTTTTAAATCTTGATGTTTGGGATGTGAGAAATCTTGGACCACTCCTTTCCGCTGCCTTTTTTGCAACGTTGGGCAAGTTTCCAACACCGAGAAATGGTAAGATTCTGCAGCGGTATTTCGCATAGGAAATCTGGCAGTGTTTCTAGCTCATCACACCAATTTATGTCTAAGGAAGAGAGGCATGGCATGATTGTAATTCCAGAATCCACTTTGTTCCACCCTTTCACGCCTTCCCAGTCCTTCCAAGACAACATGTCTCTAAATTGGAGTTGCTTCAGTTTGGGGAATAATATTGATGAGGATGATTTGAACGAAGAAGATAAACGATCATCATCTTCTACTCCCAAAAACTCACCACCAACCTTTCTTACACCCGGCATCTCCCCTACGTACAGCTTTTCAAGGAACGGCAATCTTCCAAGACGAGGCAAAATTTCACAACCCCCATTAATATCATCCCGCAGAGTAAGGAATCGCAACTTGTTTAAAGACACCAACCAATTCGGCCAGGTCGAGCCAGAATACCAACAAATCTCTAAAGATTCCAGATCATCATGTGGTCGTAAGACATTCATTATTTGTACACTGATCTCTCCAGGCTTCTCGCATACTTCAACAAAATCAAGTTGGAGATGGAAAAGTTGCTTGTTGTCCCGCAATTGTGCTCCACTCCCGTCTTTCACCTTCCCCAAAATTCTTATTCTGAGACTGCCCTGGAGCTGGTTCAGACTTCCCAAATCCCCAGCTTGAAATGCTTCGTCGTTGTCAACCGAAAACAGAGGACAGACGTCTAGTGTTTGCAAACTTGTTAATCTCCCTATCCCTTTCGGCAAGTACTTCAATGAGTCACTCCCCTCAATGTAAAGATGCTTTAAGCTAATCAACTTTCCCATGCTATCAGGCAATTTTTCAAGTGCATAGCATTCCCGAAGGTCCAAGGTATACAAATTGTATAAACCACAAACGGCGTCTGGTAATTTCCCCAAATTTTGACTCCAAGACAAATCAACATGTCTCAAATGTACCAGTTCACCAATCTCCATTGGGACTACATCCATGAAATTTCCAGACAAATTTATCGTCCTGAGACACTTAAATTCTAAAATAAAACTAGCTTCTACCCTAGCACCATTTGAATTCATTGTTATCAGTGTTCGTAGACTTTTGCAATTGCCAGAAGTGATAGGAAGTACAACTCGAGGATAAGCTCCAAACGTTAAGTTCAAATGGCGAAGATTACTGCCCAGTACCTCTATTTTACGGTTTGCATCCTCAGCCTCCGTAATCAAACTGTCCTTCTTGGTGATAAATTGCACAAAATCATGTATAATGTCGTGCATTTTACAACCTATTATTGCACCAGTGTCACGGTGTTTCTCAAAATCTTGAAAAAAAGACCGCGCAACTAAATTATCAAAAACAGCTTGACCAATTTTTCCTTTATCTTTATTCTCCCTGGAATTAAGATAATCTTGTGCTATCCAAAGATTAATCAACACATCCCTACTAAACGTATAATCTTTTGGGAAAATAGCACAATATAGAAGGCAACATCTATTTCTTGGGGTCAAATCGTAGTAACTTAGAAATAATGGCTGGAAAACTTCTTGTTCCACTTCTTCCCAATCCCATATTTTACTATTCAGAACATCCAACCACTCACTCCTTGTTCTCTTATCGCCCATCATACTACCTAAAGTCTTTGCAACAAGTGGCAAACCCTTGCACTTTTTTACAATTTCCCTACTGATATCTCCAAATACCTCAGACTCGCCTACTTCTCTATTAGAAAATGCCATGTGATTGAAGATTGACAAACAAATTTGTTCGCTCAACTCTGCAAGACTGATCATGTGAGAGGTTGCTCTCATCATACCAGCAACATTTTGCTTCCTGGTGGTTACTAGTATTCTACTGCCCTCAGCCCCATTTTGCATCAATGGAATCTTTAATTGATCCCACTTTTTGCGGTCTTCGGTCCACACATCATCCAACACTAGAAGAAACTTTACCTCCTTAATGAATCTAGACATAGATTCTAAGACATGATCCAACCCAGTTGAACTTGAGGAGGCATCACCACTAATCTCTTTAGCAATCTTTATCTCATCGAAAGGTTCTGACACACAAACCCATATTCTCTTTTGAAAGTGAGCTTTAACATTCGCATCATTATAGACTAACTGAGCCAAAGTTGTCTTTCCCATGCCTCCCATCCCTACAATAGGGATGATGAGGAGCCGCTTCCCTTCTTCACTACTATCACTCACCAACTTCCTTATCAAACTATCTTTTTCCTTGTCTCGACCAAATATCTCAGACATATCAACAAAAGACGAAGTTTGCTGTTTTTGAATGACTCTTTCAGTGAGTTGAAAATTATACATTTTTCTTTGCTTATAAATCTCAGCTAACCTCACATTTAGATCCTTTATCTTGAGAGCAATTTCACGACGAACAATAACCTTCCCGACTTGGCCAAGACAAAAGCAACGAGCGAAAATAGAGAAACTTACCTTCCTCTGAGGAGCAAGATGATCTGCGCCTTCTCTATCTTGTTTCTCAACTTCTTGTCTCAGGATGTCAGCGTGCCACTCATCCAGCACGTCCACCATCTCGTACGATATTTCCTTCAGGTTGTCTAGCCAGTTTTGCACGTTGGCCTCCTTCATTTGCCTTCGCTCTGCATCCTCAAGCACAGATTCTATAGCTTGGAGATTCCCAGCGAATTCTTCAACTTCTTTCTTAACGTTCAGAACGAGTTTCACCTCGTCTGCTACATATTGATAAGTTGTTGAAGCCAACTTGTCTAGTAGTGTGGAAACAAGCACATCGGCCATTTTCAGGGTGAGAAACTTAGAAATCGGTTGAGAGTGGAGAGGAGGAAATAAATGAGGATGGTTGTGCGATTGCTTCTATAATGCAAAGATTCTTTGCTCCTATAACAAAAAGAATTGAGTTGGTGCTGCTTTAAGATTCTTTGCTCACGGCTCTCATTAATCCACTTGTTTCTACATGATTTAATTATTCATTTTTCTAATATTATTCAAATATTAATTATTCAATCATTCGTGTTGAAATTTGAAATTTGGATGTTGATTTTGTTTGGTTGATGTTGTTTTCGGTGGACAATAATTCAAAAGGACAAGTAGTCGGAGACAAAAGAATTAAGGAAAAGCTTGACGGAGCCCAAAAGTTGACATGGGAAGGTGGAAATAATTCATTCACATATTAATATTTCCTTTCCTGCAGTGTCCCTTTGCTTTCAGCTGTCGAGTGCTCTTCAGTTACTTCAGCTGATTGGTGATGGAGATCAAGTTGGATTACTTTATCGGTGCAAAAGTATAATTCAAGGGAATTTACCGTATTACGTCGCATTTCGGTGCATTTAAATGATATATCTTATTTTTGACCCAAAAAAAAAAAAAATATGACATATCTTATACTTTCATCACCTTCATTTACATAATTGATATTTTTGCGCATTTAAAGAGTTGGTTTGTAAGTACTTTTAAAATAATTGAAAATGTTTTTAAAGAAAATATTTTTAACCCCGAAAAGCCCTTCAAGTGCTTTTTAAAGATTCTTTTGCATTTTTACTTAAAGATTAGATCGAAAAGTATATTTTTAGTTATTTTAAAAGTATTTCCAAACACAAATTAAATCTAACTACTAAAACATTTGTAATCAGCATAACAATGAAGCCCCACCCCGTTTTTGAGGAAAATTATAATTTCTTTCTTGGGTAGGTAAAGCACAATGAGCTACGTAAGATGATTTTACTTTTAATGAAATTAATTGGTCGGGTGGTTTAAGAAATGTGTCCCATTCTTTTGTTGTTTTCTCTCGTGTTGGCCATGGAGGAGAGAAAAGGAATCTTTGAATATTTGGCTGTTGACAAATCACCCTAAAAATCATACAAATTTCTGAAGTTGATGGTAATCTTCTTACACATTAGAAATGAGAAGGTTTAAAGATAAATCATAAAACCATTGTCTGTTACACACAGATTTCACGCTATTTACAACAATGCCACAGCCAAATGGGGCTGGTTGGGAGGGTAATTATTAAAAGGTAGGAGGGTAATTTTGTAAATGTTTCCTTTGCCACTCGATTTCACGTTATTTACATTTCTGCCATTGTGTGTGTGGCTGTGCTGTGGAGGGATTTCATGGGGAGAGACGTGGGATGGCACAGATCCTTTTCCCATTCAACAGACATCCCTCTAATTTTTTTATATTATTTCCTATCACATAATGCTGTGCACCATTCCATAATCCTTTGTTTTATTATTATTAGCAGAGAGCATATATTTTATGTGTATGAATAATTTCTCTTAATAAGTGCATATTTTTTTCTATACTATTATATTAAGAGCAAGTCTACCCCTAAAGACTTTGCGCCAGCACCTAGCCCATTTATCCACTCAAGTGAACAGTAATAGACCACAGTGAGCAGTAATAGGCCAAAACATCTCCACCCCTAAAAAAAATAGCCTAGTCCATTTTATTAAAATATTATTATTTTTTATTTTAAATTTCTGAATTTATAAAAAATAAAATAATCATAATAATAATTTCTGAATTTATTAAAAATTTTCTGTATTTTTTAAAAGTGAAATTCTTAATTTTTTGGGGGAAAAAATGTGGACTGTTGATCTGTGATCGGACGGTCCAGTTTAAAAGTGAAATTCAAATTTTTTTTACCGTTGGAAATCCAACGGTCTATAATAAGTAGCCGTTGGAAATCCAACGGTAGAAATTGGGCCATGTCGCCCACCCGAGGGAGAGGTTAATGCGCCTGCGCCGTTGGGCCCTACCTCTGATTTTGTTGTCTCCTACTCGCTAGGACGTGCGCGTGTAGGACATGTGCCAGGCTTAACAACACAAACAGGCTGGTCCCCAGGTCTGTCAAAAATGGGCTGGTCTGGAGACCAGCTTGGTCTGGAGACCAGCTTGGGCTGGAGTGGACTGGCTGAGTCCCAGCCTGTTTTTTCCACTGGGTGCTGGCCTCTTTTTGCTCCAGTGGAACTGCTCTAAGAGAAACCTCATTGTCAACTTTTCCCCCTTTTTTTTTCCTATTTTATCCTCCTTAGAGCAACTCCAGCGTTGGAGCCCTCCCCCCTGGCAATACACTATTCAATCCACCTAATGAACAATAACTGCCCTTAATGAACAGTAAGTAGCCCTGGCAATAGAATTTGCATCTCCACCGTTACACTTCAATAGCCCTGGCAATAGGCAATAAAATATTAGTATTTTTTTTATTATAAAATAATACAAAATAATTTTAATTGTAATATCGGATAAGATTTTTAATCGTTCTCGGTGCGCCACGTGTCATTATCCGAAGTATTATTAAATAATACAAAATAATACAATTATTGGTGCAGGAAGGATGTAGAGCGTTGTTTCGGTATCCTCCAAGCTCGCTGGGCGATCGTCAGGGGTGCTGCCAGATTGTTTGATGTAGAGTCGCTTCGATCCATCATGATGACGTGCATCATTCTTCATAACATGATTGTGGAAGATGAGTACGATTATGAAGCCGTTGATGAATATGAGCCAGACCCGATGAACAATTCAAGAACACGTATATATTGTGCTCATGACGCCACCGATGAGCCCGTGCAACATGAGCCATTACAAAGGGATGGACGTTACAATGAAAGGCTCATTCAACGATATACTGCATTTCAAATGCCAGACATGCACAATGCCCGACAAATTGACTTGATAGAGCACCAGTGGGCATTGAAACAAGCTGAAGATAATTAAGTTCATTTAGTGTGTTTTTTTTTAATTTGGTATGTTTATGTTATTTTATTTGGTGTGTTTTATTATTTGGTATGTTTAAGTAATTTTTTTATGTTTATGTTTATGTAATTCTTAGTATATGTAATTCTTAGTATGTTTATGTTTATGTTTATGTTTATGTAATTTTGTTATGTTTATGTTTATGTAATTCTTAGTATGTTTTATGTTTATGTTTATGTTTATGTAATTTTGTTATGTTTATGTTTATGTAATTCTTAGTATGTTTATGTTTATGTTTATGTAAAGGACTTTTAATTAGAACGATGGACTTTTAATTATTTTATAAAAGGACTTTTAATTTGAACAATGGACTTTTAATAAATAACTTACCAAATTAATTTGAATAAATATTCAAGAAATTGGAAACAACATAAATAATACAAACAATAAATAATAAATTACAACCCAAAGTGATTGGAAAATTATGGGCTCCGATTACAAAAAGTACTCTATTCATCATCACTTAACCAATTTGTGGTGCTAGGATGATCTTCTCTTGCGGTGCTAGAACCACCTTGGCTTGCTATTACTTCTCTTGCACGCCTCCTTCGCACAACGTCCGCTTTCTCTGATTTCCAAAAAAATTTAGAATTTGGAGACTTCCCTTCTAAAGACATGTTCATAATCTCACGATCTTGTTGAGCCCGTCTTTCTTCTCTAACATGTTCCCTTTCTTGCCTAAGTAGCTCTCTTTCTCTCTCATTAGCATAAAATTCTCTCTCAACAGCTGCTTGTTTTGATGCCTCTCTAGCCTTTTCAGCCTCATCTTTCGCCAGGTCCCTTGCCAAAGTCAATTCACCTTGGCGAGTAAGTTCTTCCATGAACTTTGCATAATCGTTCTTGGAAGCACTACCTTTTCTCTTTGAAGCCTTCTTACCTTGAGGCCTAATTGGAAAACGGGTCGAACCCGACGCGCGTTCAGGGAGGGGCGTTTCGGGCACTTCTTCTGCATCATCTTCATGAACATGATCGGGTGTAGAGTGTAGAGGGGTGCTGTTCATGTGCACTTCTGGACCGACTGGCACAACTCTAAATTTAGGACAATCTTTGACAATATTCCAACATTCCCACCGGTTGAATGATTTATTTTTGCTTTTGGTTTTGGCAGCGTACCAAGCTTGTGCTTGAAGTTCCTACACAATAAAAATAAGTAACAAATAAATAAGTAACTAGCAAATACATACATATATATATAAGTAACAAATAAATAATTTTAATGAAAATAAGTAACTAGCAAATATATACATATATATATAAGTAACAAATAAATAATTATAATGAAAATAAGTAACTAGCAAATATATACATATATATATATATAAGTAACAAATATAATGAAAATAAGTAAGAAGGCTTCAAGTTTAGTAAATAATGAAAATAAGTAACAAATAAATAATTATAATGAAAATAACTAACTAGCAAATATATACATATATATATATATAAGTAACAAATATAATGAAAATAAGTAAGAAGGCTTCAAGTTTAGTAAATAATGAAAATAAGTAACAAATAAATAATTATAATGAAAATAACTAACTAGCAAATATATACATATATATATATAAGTAACAAATATAATGAAAATAACTAAGAAGGCTTCAAGTTTAGTAAATAATGAAAATAAGTAACAAATAAATAATTATAATGAAAATAACTAACTAGCAAATATATACATATATATATAAGTAACAAATATATATATATATATATATTTATATGTCATTTTAATCATAACATGGGGCTAGAGTTCCAAGTTTAGTAAATAAATAATACAAACAAACAAATAAATAAATAATACAAACAACATAATTATAATGTAACAAATAAGTAACAATAAATAATAAATTGTTACCTGATCCGAGTAATTTTCCCCACTTCGAATATTATTACTAGCTTGTGCCAAAGCGTCTCTCCACGTACTAAACGATTGGCTAAGTAATTTCCAACGACTGGACATCGATTCTTTGGTTCTTTTCCCACCAATTTTCTCAAGAAAACTGGTATGAATAAGACTCCACATTTCTCGCAACTGCATCTCATTACCCGTAAGCGAACTATGAGTAACTTCAACCCAGCTAGTACACAACGCAACATCTTCAATAAGCGACCAATTCGTACCTGCACCAGTGGTCATTTTGTTGAAAAAAAATGGATTCAAATTTTGAGACAAAGAAAGGAATGTGATTGAAAGTAGTTGAGAAAATATGAAATTGTTGTGTAAGGTAGAT